GCCGGACGATCCAGTCAAATGGGAGCACAGCACTTGAAGCTAACCACTTAAACACAGCATGTGTTCGCGACGCAAACTGGCATATAGGTGCACCTTTGACTGAGTGCCGAGAAGGGAGAAAGAAATGAGGCGACTGGTTTTACGTGGTGTCGAGTAACCCGCAGAGTACTTGGTTAGAACTGATGAAGATAGGCGCCTTACAAATTGTTAACGAAAGTTGATGAGTCGTACTCAGCTTGGTGGAGTGTTACTACTACTGCTACAGCTTCCGGAAGCGGCCGCAGCCAAAACCTTCTCGTGTAAGCGAAATCGGTCTACTATGAGAGGACGCACATCCTCCTGCAAAGAAGAGAAATGACATTGGGTATGAATGATTAAATTGAGCTTTCTTGATGAAACAGCAATAAATTCATATAAGTATCACAAAACGGGGGGGCATACCAAAACACCGAGAGTCGTCAAATTNGTCAAATTGAAATTATTTCGGTTTGTAAAACTGGTAACTCTATGTTATGCTGTTTGTCAACAAGCGACGGTCGGTTCACATCGTGGTCGATTGTGAATTGTTTTTAATGTACACCACTCGGTGGTGATGGATAAAAGGAATGGACTGCATTGTCACGATGAATAATTGCTCTTGATCGCCTGCACTGTAAGCCTTGATTGGCGAAAACAGTAGGGCCTTCGCGGCATAGGTGTGGCATTCATTCGGACAGAATAGAGAACAAAAAACCCACGGTGGAACTTTGAGCTGTTGAAAATGCGCAAAACGCTGCCGCTCGCCTAAAGCATTTTGAGTTTAAAGATGTTCCATCTGTCATCTTGCAAGGCCGCATGTGTTTTGCTGTTAAACTACACTTCAATCAGCCTTTAAACAATATTCGTATCAAAATAAAAAACATTTGACTATAAGGGACCCCTTCTATTGGCCAAGCGTAATCATTACCAGTTGCAATAAACGATAAATGCTTCCACTTTCCGTTTGAATCTGCATGCCCTTTCCCATTGATAACACCTATTTTTCATTCTTGAATTGCCTGCATATATATAGTTCAACCGTGTTAGATACTTTGTGTGACTCATTAACACATTCTCTGCATCACAACTGGTCATAATACATCGTATAGCCTCTAAACCAACGGTCAGGTTGAGTGATTAAATGGAACGCTGTAAAATCAATATCAATGGCAACAAAAGCTCAAGATTTGAATCCGGATCACTGGGATGATAATCTATTTGAGGCCCTACGCGCTCCATGCGATCGTTTCTCTGCACAGTAACTAATTTTACTCCGCACGAACGACTTCTGTCACAACAGCGAATTCGTCTTTGAAACCTCTCAGCCAAGTTCATCGCTCACTCCCGGCAGGGAGTTTATGCTGAAAAGGCGAGTCAGTCCAATATATGACCCTTCGGGGAGGACTTCGGTCTCACTGAATGCAACCCAGGCTAAGCTTCCCGAGCAGCCGAGAAAACACGGAACTCGTGCGTCAGCAAGCTCAACTGGAACGGAGAAAAGCATACACTTCCGCTGACCATTTCATTAACAATACTACATATAACACTCTCAGAACACTCGAAGGAAACTATCAACTATTCCACTATTCACTCACTGTAATATTCTCAGTGACGTAGTAAAAACTAGGCAAATCGCTAACTAAAAGAATATATCTTCAAGAGAACTTATTGAATCAACAACGAAGGAATCGTCCTTACAAGAATTAGAGATTATCTATTCATCCTCACTTAATCTTACGCTCTACGTGACTAATTTACGGTCACAATTTGGATTTTTGGAACAACTTTTTGTCACACTCAAACTATAAGGGACAAATGATGAGGAACACTTAACGATTCCAAATTTCTCACTGCACCTGATTAATACTCCTGTTAACTATTTTTGGTTCCGTTTTGTAACTGATAATTCATTATTGAGATTAGTCTGATTCTCTAATTTAGCTCAAATTGATTCCAATCAAAAACGAAGAAAGGAAGGAGAATACAAATGCGTTCAAGCTGTCGTTCGATGTTTTTTCCGGGTGGGGGTAACGAAGCCACCGAAAAATCGGGATGGAATCGAAACGGTACATAATTTAGTAAAACAACAAAGGGACGATTGACAAGATGTAAAAACACTACTACACAGAATAGTCAATCAATCAATCACGTCGCACCGTAAAATGACATTGAAGAATCTGCGGAATAAACCGGATGAAGTGTTTGGATAAGCTCAACAACGGTGCAACTTACCGCTTTCGAAACTTCTGTCAAGAACGGTAACAAATTGAGCAACTCTCGATCGTTGGCGTCTACGAACCAACTCTCAATAGGAACGCCATTATCCAGCTGAAAAGGGATCAAATAAATGAAAACAAATAGCAAAGACATGAATTTTTGCTACGAAAACGGTCGGTATTTCGTGCAGTAAAATAATCAGATACGCGTATTCAAGTTTGAGCTGGTGAAACGTAACTTATGAGAGCAAAAACGTTTTTGAATTTGAAGGACACTAAGAAACTCATCTTTCACCGGATGTCGCGTTCTTAAATAAATAAATCATCTGTTGTGTTAACTGTGTTTTGCCGGAGCATGAAATCGTAAAAAGATTTCAGCTTGTCTTCATTTTCGCAAAATCCGGATTATAACCGTAGTACAACAGCATTGAGGGACGAAATTCCCTCTCGGTCGGAGTATAGCCCCAACTGAGAAAGAGCGATCGCTCCAGATAATTTCAGTGCTTACTATTGTTACTATTTTCCGGTTATTAGCGAACGGTTTCGGTTCAGTAGGGAGCGTAAGCATTACTTACTTTTACTTTTGATTGACTAACTCCTGCGGAAGGATAAGTGGGCTTCTTAGATGTCTCTAATGATGGCGGCCTATGCATGACGATCGATAGCAAGGTTGACGCAGTATGAAACCCGGTTCTGGTTCCAGTTACGAATTCCAGATTGGAGGCCCAGTAATTCCAAATCTGATTGATCGTACTATTCCAGGTCTTCAGTTAACCACCGAGTCGCTAATCCAAAGCTCGGCACGGTGCGGGGGCCACAGTCTATCGGGAGAGTTGATTGTCGGGCCTTCGGAGCACGTGGCCGAGCCACTGGAGGCGCCGACGTTGTAGCATTCTTGAAAGTCTGTCAATGTTTAAGCAGTGCCGTCAAAGCTCATCATTGGAAATCCGATCTCTCCAATTTATTTTCAAAATGCGGCGTAAGCATCAATGCTCAAAGACTTCCAGCCTCCTTGTATCTTGTACTCTTAGCGGCCAGATTTCACAACCGTAAACGAGGATGGGGCGAATGGAAGCCTGATAAACCCGAAGTGTAGTGTTTAAGCTTATTTCGCGTCCATTCCACAACGGTTTAACGAGTTGCAGGAAGGCTCTTCTAGCTCCATCTACACGGAGTAGGATTTCATCTTTAGCCTGGTCGTTTGATCTTATCATAGAGTCAAGGTACTTGGAAACTTCGGTTGATTCGGCAAGCTCCCCGTTAATCGAGAATGGTTGTCATAGCAGAAGTTTCGGTCGAAAATGTCTTCGTTTTCGACGTGTTGATTTCTAGCCCAATGGACTGGGCAAACTGATTTATACAACAGACAATAAGTTGGAGGTTGTCCATGGTGTCTCCAAGTACAACGACATCATATGCAAACTCGAGGTCAGCAATCCATGTACCTGGGCCAAGCTGCACTCCAGGGTAGTCGATGAGTGCTTGTGGCATTATCTAATCTGCGGTGTAATTGAATAACACTGGCGATAGGGGACAACAATGTCTAACTCGAGAGCTTAGGGTAAACTCAGTCGATTCTTCTCCATAAGTAGGAACGAGTGTCCGGGTTCCTGAGTAATATGACTTTAAAAGCCTGATGAACTTCTCAGACATCCCGTCGGACCGCAACACGCACCACAAGGATTCTCTATCGACAGTGGTAGGCTGTAGGAACTTGTAATGGTGTTCCAGAATCCTACGGAGTGAAGACTTGTTCAACACAGCCCCCTTGGCTCGGGGGAGTGCGAGTATTCCTGACGACTGTTAAGCGATTAAGCAGTATCATTACAAGCAATTTGGCCGCAGTATCAATGAGGCTAATATACCTGTAAACTTCGGATCTAGATCTGTCACCCTTTTTTGGAACCGGGACTGAAGTTGAAGCTGTCCAATCTTTTGGAAAAACTTCTATTCCCCAAATGGTGTGGAAAAGAGTGCAGCGGATCGATCAGAGTTGCTAAGTAAGCTTTGAATAGCTCGTGTAGTATCCCGCCTTCTCAATGGGTCTTCCTATTTTTCAGATAAGTGACTGCATTGATGATTTCCATCGTACTAGGTGGGTCACAATTGATGTCGTAAGTCTCCGAACTACTTACCACCTGTAGAGAGCCAGTTTGGTTTGATGGTCGGTTGAGCAGCCCGTCGAAGTGTTCAACCCACCTTTGCATTGTTTGCTCAGTTTCCTGATCAATTTGACCTGTGGTGCTGTACAACAATGGTTCCGATGTATGCTTCTTTCCTGCTGCGACAAGAATTAGACGGAATAGCTTTCCAAAGTTCGCTGTGACGGTTGCATTCTCCATGCTATCTGTAATTGCCTTCCGGTATTGTTTACGGTCGCTCTTGGCGACGGAAAATACGAAATTTAGGAGAATTGATCAGCCGTGCATCTCTTGCCTTTGCGGACAACTGCAGTGTACACTCGGAGATCCAGTCTCTCTTATGGCGAATAATCTCACCTAAGTGCCCCAGCGCCGCTTCTCCGAGGGACGTTTGCTGTGTAGACCACTGTGCGTCAGCAGTTGAGTCATCAAAGAAGGTTCCGGTTATGTTGGAAGCGATTGTGTCCAGCAGCTCCTGACATCTCTCAGGTCGTTCCAAGAGCGCGACGTATAATTGACCCGAGAGACGAGTCTTCCGGTGAGTAGTCTGGTGGATCTTGAAGCGGGCGTGTACAAGGGTATGATCCGTGCCGTTCCTGTTGCCAGTTTCTGCGCCGGGATAGGAACGGCAGTATTCTACCGAAGAGGCCCAGCGAGCACGTACCAAAATATAATCAATCTGGTGTGCCGTTCGTCCATCATTTGAGTACCACGTTAGCAGGCGTTTTCTGGGGTGCTGTAAAAGAGTGTTGGCCATGAACAGCCGGTTAAGGTCAGCAAATGTAACTAGGCATTCGCCATTTTCGCAACGTTGATCAAAGCCGAACTTTCCCAAAGCATGCCGAGTACGTTAGTCTGATGGACCAGTGCGTGCATTCCAGTCTCTTGCGATAACGAGAATATCGCGTCTCGGACTGCGATTC